TCATAGCATGATAAATGAGTGTACATGTGATACTGATCATGTATGGGTATTGTTTATATGTGATTAGTGTTTATGATTTATGATTGTTGTGTGTGCTATCTAACCTTTATTTTTGCACCTGAAACTGAGTGAGATGTTTCTCACTCCCTTGTTGTTCTTGTATATGTTTAAAATATGTTGCAGGTGATCATCAGTTGGTGATGAGGCTAAAGGCTTCAGTTGGGCATGCTCTGATAGGATGTGACATCGGGCATAGCTAGGCTTAGTTTAGAATGTTATTGTTTTAAAAGCCTTAGTTTTCTTTTCTTTTGTAATTTTGAACGTTCTTGATAAAAGATCAAAATGTGCATCTTTGTCATATTATTTTATTACATGATTTAGAAGTTATAAATTAATTCCTAACTAGGAGGCACTGCCACCTTTGCTAGAATTAATCTATATTTTCCTTTATATGATTTCTTGAGTTTTAATACTTACATGTTGACTTTTTATGATTTATGAGTTACGAATGTGAATCTTCTACCTTATGATATTTGAGACAATTGTTTTATCCATGAAAGATGTTGTCAACTATGAAAGATTTTATTTACTAAAAAAGAAAAACAATGTGTGTTAAAATGAACCCCAGAACGGGCCGTTCTAATTTTGAGAATGGGCCGTTATGATTTTTGAAATGGGTCGTTCCAGTTGTAAATTTTGCATATAACGAATGGCTCTAGAACGGGCCGTTCGGATTTAGAATGGGCCGTTCTGGGTACCCTTGAATGCCTATAAATAGGAGGCATGGGGTGAAAAAAAAATAACTGAGAAGGTAAAATCTTAGAGAGAGAAAGAGAGAGAGAGAGAGAGAGAGAAAGAGAAAGAGAAAGAAAGAGAGAGAAAAAGAAAGAGGGAATCTAAGGAAGGAGATTAGCAAGGTTTTGCTCTAGTTTCAACTTCTGCTTATCAAGGTAAGGGGGGAGTGAGAAACCTCGCTCGGGGGTCTGAGAATAATTGTTGGATAGTCTGATTGTCGGATTGGCCCCCAATCCCTTGCCTGTTGCATGCTTCTAGGAACATGCAAAGTATGAATGTGTACTATTTTACTTTCTGTTTGCTCTACTTTGTTCCTTGTTGGAAGTAATAAATGAATATGTAATTAATGTTAAAAATAAATAAGTTTTAATATGAATAAAAATTCTCTCTGTGGATTCCTGTGCAGACCTTATGAGGAATAATTATGACATGATTATGTGAAATATGCACAAATAACATGAGACATAAGAATGGACTATTGAGACAAGTTATGATTATGAGAATATGAAAAATGATGACATGATGTACTAAATGAAATTCTGTAATAAGTCAATGAAATAATGAATGCATGACATGCATCATATACATATATAACTCCAGGTATGTTGTTGAGGCCGCATACCAGTGATGTAACCAGCTAACAAGGTGTACCTTAGAGTCACCAGTAATGTAACCAGGTGTACCTTAGGGTCACCAGTGATGTAACAAGCTAACAAGGTGTACCTTAGGGTCACCAATAATGTAACAAGCTAACAAGGTGTACCTTAGGGTCACCAGTGATGTAACCAGGTGTACCTTAGGGTCACCAGTGGTGTAACCAGGTGTATCTTAGGGTCACTAGTGATGTAACAAGCTAACAAGGTGTACCTTAAAGTAGTTTTTCTTGTAAATATAACTTACTGAAGACTTTGACACATTTTTCCTTTATTATATTATTCTCTCACGAATTGTTCTCACTTAAAAACTTATTAATTTCTGTTACTTCAAATTATTTAAAAGGACTTGTTATATTTTGAGGACTTACGCATCACGCGGATAAGTTCTTAAACATAATATTATCACATATCTCAAATTATTTTTAATTTTGTGATTGTATAATTTTGGTTAAAATTCTTATTAATTTAGTCCCTGATAATATTTTTTTTTGTTTCAATTTAGTTCCACTTTAATTTTTTGTTTCAATTTGGTCCCCAATAATTAAAATTATTACAATTTGGGATTTTCGTCCAAATGATTTAAACGGAGTTAACTGTAGGCCACGTGGATGCTAGGTGGATGCCACATAGATGATGTCAAATTTCTTGAATACACCTAGAACTAGAACGGCCCGTACTGAAACCAGAACGGGCCGTTCTGGTTGCATTATTGGTGTGTTAATTTTGTACCTGGAACGGGTCATTCCAGATGCAAAATTAACACACCAATAATGTAACCAGAACGGGTCGTTCTGGTTTCAGAACGGACCATTCTGGTTTCAGAACGGGCCGTTCTGGTTACAGAATGGTCGATAATTGTCGTTCACGGTTGTAAATTGTGCACGAAAAAAGATCCAAGGTACAAAGCATTTCAAACACTAAATTTGGTAATATTGTCAATGGAGATTGATAACTTCAATTGTTAAACATTTGGGCTATACAGTGTATCATTAAGGACGATGGTAGCAGGTTTTATTTTATTGTTAGTCAAACTGGAGTGAACCACATACTATCAAATTGACATTATACAATCAAGGATGAAACGAAACGGTGTTTCCCCTTGAAGTCATTGACGATGTACCCCAACTGTGAAGTCCCACATAGGTTAGGAAGGAGAACGAAGCATGCCATATATATGGGTGTGGATACCTTCCTTGTGTGGACGCGTTTTGGGGTGGCATGCGTGCCATTGCCAGAAACAAAACCGTGAGGGCTGCGGCCAAAGCGGACAATATCCACATGCGGGTTGCTGGGGTGTTACATTTGGTATCAGAGCCGGGACCCGGGCCGGTGTGCCAGCGAGGGCGCTGGACTCCCTTGAGGGGGGTGGATTGTGAAGTCCCACATCGGTTAGGAAGGAAAACGAAGCATGCCATATATATGGGTGTGGATACCTTCCTTGTGTGGACGCGTTTTGGGGTGGCATGCGTGCCATTGCCAGAAACAAAACTGTGAGGGCTGCGGCCAAAGCGGACAATATCCACATGCGGGTTGCTGGGGTGTTACACCAACAATAACAACCTGTTCTTGAGGAGGTACAACCTGAATTTTTGTGGTTTAGAGTTTCCCTTCAGCGTTACCCAGATGATTTCCTTTCTCAGTAATTTCTTTCAACTTTTTTAGTATATGTTATGTTCTGAATTTTTGTTTTCAGTTTCTGAACCATGTTTCTGTCTTTGAATTTATGATATGTTTGAATTTTTAATTTCAATTTTTGAATCACATTTTGAAAAACGAAGTTGGCGTTCTGGAACGGGCCGTTCTGAATATAGAACGGCCCGTTCTAACACCAGAACGGCCCGTTATGGTTTCAGAACGGGCCGTTCTGGTGCACTCATGGTGTGTTAAATTTGCATTTGGAACGGATCGTTCCAATTGCAAAATTAACACATAACATGTACAAGTAGAACGGGCCGTTCTGGTTTCAGAATGGGTCGTTCTGGTTCCATGTGTATTCATGAAATTTGGCAGCCACGTTTGCATCTATGTGGCATACACCTAACATCCACGTGGCCAACAATTAACTCCGTTTAAATCATTTGGACGGAAGTCCCAAATTGTAATAATTTAAATTATTGAGGACTAAATTGAAACCAAAAATTAAAGTGGGACTAAATTGAAACAAAAAATATTATAAGGGACCAAATAAGGATTTTAACCTATAATTTTTATATCAAATTTTTTTTTGTTAGTGATCAATTGTAAAGATATACAATAATATTAAAAAAAATTCCAACTGCAACTGATATTAAAAAAAACACATTGAAATTCAGTAATTCATGTAATTAATAATCTAAGTCTTTTTTTTTTCTTACATTAATAATCTAAGTCTTAGATCATATAAAACTATACTTTCATATCCACTAGTGAAAAAAACACTTTTAAAATCGGTCATTTTTTACTTTTAAAATTGGTTCCCTGGCCGATTCTAAAAGAGCCGATTTTAAAAATTTGCACTTTTAATATCAGTGATGCATCAACTAATTTTAAAAGTAAGACTTTTAACATCGGTCATGCATAAACCGATTTTAAAAGTTAGACTTCTAAATTGGCACAGGTCGTTCCAGTTTCCTTAAAAGGCCTAAAACTGTAGTCTGGAATGGCCCGTACTGCAATTAGAACGGCACGTTCTATGATCAGAACGGCCTGTTCTGGTTGCAGAACGACCCGTACTGCATCTAGAAAGGGCCGTTCTGATTGTAGGACAGGCCGTTCTACAACCAGAACAGGCCGTTCTGATCGCAGAACGAGCCGTGCTGCAACCAGAACAAGCCATTCTGATTGCAGAACGGGTCGTTCCAAATTCAAAATTTACCAACACACAGTCCATGAGAAAAAAATTAGAATATTACCTTGATATAATAATCTTGCAAAGAAAATGAGAAGCTAGGGTTTTGTAAGATTGAGTTAGGCTTAAATCTACTATTCTAAGATACGATTAATTAATCAAAGAATAATTCAAAGCAGGGGGAGTGGAAATCTTTCTGGGGATTTGGTTCCTCGTGAAACTAGCGATGGGGGCACTGTGAATGTTTGTGTTTGCAACCATATATAATAAGAAGACTAATGAAACGTAATTGTATTAAATTGAAACTCCCTTCCAATTAAGATTAAAAGGTTTACTTTGTTGTATACCAAACGAGAACGATGTAGTTGCTTTCCACGGAGCAAAATATCAATTAATACATTTCAAGTTCAAACTTCAGAAAAAGCGAGAGACAAGGATACAGAACAACGAATTGATCCACAACAAGGACAGCAGAAAATAAATTGACAGAAAAAGGATAGCATATGCATATAACAACTGCATTGGAAGCTATTGAGAAAAGGAATTTGTTTAGAATATGCTTCAATTGATATAGAATAATCTTCACAATAGCACAAAAAATATTAAACATACAATTGTGCTTTCCTATATATCATTCTAAGCATAATTAAAAAAAATAAAAATAAAAAACTGAAGGCCTAAATAACATTATTACTCAACAAAAACATAACCAAACTGATACATCAGTTTGAGAATACAATAAGAAAGGTTAATATGGCAGCAAGAACCACTGGAAAGACCAAAAGCAAAGGAATTCCTGGTGGTGAAAGAGGAACCATGAAAAGTGGAGCAAGCAGAAGAAAGGCTGCAATAATAAAAAGAATTAATATGACAATGGAACTATGAATACAAATTTTAAAACTGAGAACATTAAAAAATATTAGACAGTTAAGTGGGTAAAAGAGAAAGAAAAGGATAAGTTCAGTTAATTAAAGAGAGTGAAATACGGAGATTATGAATAAATTTTGTTAACAAAAAAAATGGAAAGATTACATATAATGGATAATGGTTACAAATAAAATGGATTATAAAAAGGGATACACATTGTGAGGGAGGGGGATTTTTTTTTGAACGCGTATTTGGAGAGGATACAAAGGAAAGAAGTTTTCTTTTGAGCGAATAACTATTACGTACAATTGTTTAGGGTTTCTGCTGTACAATTGTTTACTGGTGACTACAACAAATCAATTTCATAGTTTTGCAGACGTGGGTATTGCATGATTCGTGGATTAATCTGTTATACATTTCGAGGTTTATTAAAGTTTTAATTTTCTTTTTTAGCTGTTATTCCTTTTTTCTTTTTCATTGAACCATGATTTGATTTTGTCAGGTAAAAGTATTACATTTCTTTTTGCATACTTAATAATTGTAGCACTGCATATATTTTAGTTTCCCCAATTCTTTTTATTTTATTCTTTTTGAAATTGATTACCTACATCCACATGAATACTTCACCGATTAATATGGGACTTAAAATCAATTACTTATATACTATAAATAATGGGCTCCTAAAAGCTTTTATTGATTCTTACCCAATCCTCTACCTTAATAAAAAAAATCTTTAAAACATTTTTTGGAATTCATCATATTAATTTTTAATAACAAACATTAAATTTTAAACTACTGTTCCTATATATTCAATAAATAATCTAATCTGTTAATTTATTTGTTGATACTGAACAGTAATTTTTAGTACAATAAAAAAATGTATGATCACAAATACGAACACGCAAATAGATAGCTTTATTTGCATGTTTTAGGAATAAAATAAATAATTGCGAAAAATTGTTAACGTTGTGAGTAATGGGAGATGCCTATTAAAAAAATTTATTTTATTTATTGATTTTAATTTTTTTTTGTTACTTTTTACTCTTTTTGATTCAAAAGTAGCACAATTTTTAAAATTTTAAATTGTATTTCTATTATATAAAATCAATCATGGTATTTAAAGTTTTAAATTAAATATTTACCTTAACTCGTGCATATTTGTAAAATTGATTGAGTAGCAATTATACCGTTAATATCACTTAAATCACAAGAATTTATAGAATAGTCGATTTGCTATCGCTAATTTTTATGCATAGAGTAAAATAGAGTTTGTTTTCTTATAAAAAATATTCTTTAAAATTTTATTTCAATAAATAATAATTAATAGTGTCAATTGAATAACAATTTATCTTTAACACTATTTGATTGCGAGAATTTGTTAATTAGCCATTTGCTAGCATAAAATTTTGTGCATTCATATTCTCTTTTAGATAAAAATGCATAAAATGTGAAAGTTGTTATCTTTCAAAATATTAAAAAATGAAAATATACTACAATTAATAACGTTAATTGAATAACATTTATATCTTTAATATTGTTATGAGACTTTAATGATTAGTCATTTGCTTACTTAAATTCTTATGCAATATTTTTTTCCTTAATCAAAAATAAATAAAAAAAGAGATATATTTCACGTATAAGTTGTTTTAAAACAATTGTGCAATGACTAGTGATATTAATTGAATAACACTTCTCCCTTTAATATCATGTAAATCATGAAAGTTTATAGAATAGTTATTTGCTATCATAAACTTCCACGCATAGGGTAAAATAAAAATTGCCTTTTATAGAAAATTAATGGTTATAGTTATCTATAAAATTAATTGAGTAGCAATTCTATTTTAATGTTATTATAAGGGTTTTGATGGAGGAACACTTGAAGAAGTGGAAGAATGAGCTCCTCCTAGCTCCCTCCGAATCCATGAGATATTTCTTTGAGGTTCCAATGGTAGAAAAAAAAACTCCAAAGATGGTGTAGAAGCAGCTAAATCCATGGCTGTTTTTGTCTTCCTGGAGAAGGAAGAAGAAGCTCCAAAGCACAAAGGAAGGATTCCTTTGTAAAGGTGCTTAAGGATAGAGAACTTCCTTAAGGTTCTAAGGACTCTTTGTGAGAAAATTTTGAAGTGAAATTCATATATCATCAAAAGGTAGTCAGCTACAAGTGTGTAGGGTATTTATAAGAGTGGGGAAGCTTGTAGGAGAAGCTAGGTTAACTAGAGTTTAAAGTGAACCATGGTATGGTCACTTTAAACTCTAGTTGTCCAAATTCCTTGGCTCTCTCATTCACGCCCGACTCACCCAAATTTGAAGTTATATATAAATGTAATTTGGGTTGCCTTTGCATCTAATTTGGTCATGCATGGAAGGCATGACTCAAATTAGATGTAAATGCACTCTAAATTACATTTATCTTCAAGTTAAAACCCTTTAACCTAAAAACTCCTATACTTAGAGACCTATGAATACATGGTCTAAAATTCCTATACAATCATGTCTAAAATAAAAAGACAAGCAAAACAAGACCAATATTGGCCATGAAAAGCCCAAAGCCCATGAAACCCACTAATAGGCCCAAATTGGCTACTAGGCTAAAAACCGTAATCTAGGTGCCCAAAATACAAGGCTAAAATATATGATACCTATATATATATATATATATATATATATATATATATAATCATATGAGAGGTATTGGGCTTTTATTAGTTAGAGGCCCATAGCCCAAGGTGAGTTAATTAGGCCCACTAACCCAAAAGTAGGCCCAATCCTCCTGTGGTCTTCAAGACTAACTCATTCCTCTTGGGTCCTTCAATGTATCACCTATTGGTCTTCTTGGCCTTGACATGATTCCATCAAGTTTAATGATTAACCATTTGCTAACTTAATTTCTTGTGTAAGTTTTTTTCTAAAATAAAATAAAATGTACAAATACGAAAGTTTTATTTTAATATAATATTAAAAAATAAATATCAATTTCATTAATTGAATAACAATTCTATGTTTAATGTTATTGCAAGGGTTTATCAATTAGTCATTTGCTAACTCATATCCCTATGAAAATTTTGCTTCTTTAACTAAAATATTAAAACATATTCCACCTATAAATTGTTTTAATTTTTGCAATGGTTTGCAATATTAGTTGAGTAACATTCCTCTACTTTTAATATCGTGAGTCATGAAAGTTTGTAGAATAATCATTGTAACGACCCGCCATGGTCCCTACCCTTAGTGGAATTGCACTACTAATAGTGAACTAGGAGAAATATTAAAATTGGATAACTCATACATACAGGTGTGTATATATATATAATAGAACTATGTTTCTATGTACAAATACGACACTAAATATGTACATTCATCCAAATAATATAACCTTAGTACCGGTTAAGCACAAACAACAGTTACCCAAGAAGGTAACTCTGACACTAGGACAAAATTCATCATCTCGCGCAGCGGTCACCTTAACTCCTAACTAGCCCTGATTTTCTCCCATACAAAGTATGATCATCGCAGTCCAACCACATGGAAACAGAAGGGTAAGCTAGAGTTCAATAAATCACCGTACAAGCATAATAATGATATCTATGCTACTCAACTATCAAATCATCAAATCATGAAGTCAAACACCATACACTTCATCATAACAACAATCATGCGATTAAGTAACACAATAAAGATATCAATGCATATCTATCATCAAATGCGTCGTCACGCATACCCCTAGGAGATCTCCCTAATAGCAGAGTAGTATAAGTGACATCCCAATCCTACCGAAACCCCAACCATTTTCACGCCCAATGCGCCCGTTCGGTCACAGTTAAACAGGATATAAATCCTCACTCGGGTTTACTCGGATGATGTCACTTACACAATTGGAAGTCCAGTTCCACCATCAGGTATAACATAGCTGGGTACAGGCTTACCGCGACCTTGGCATGCATTACCAAGTCACTTGTGGAGTTCGTCCACCGACTATCCGCAAGGAACCATGCACCTTCCCCAGTACTTGGTTAAGGGAATAACCCTCCACCTCATACTCCGTTTCAACACTAGCTAAGGACTTAGAGGAGACTCACCCAAACTAATGGCCTACCTGAGCACCACTGTCATCCAAAACTAGTGGCCTATATAAGCACCACTCTCATTTATATCAGTCACCTATCCAGGCACCACTCTCAAGAGACTCTATGTGAGCGCTTCCAGTTCGAAAATATATTTTCCTGTCCTCAAGTCCTGGGCTAGACGCATGCCATAAGGCATCACATGCAATAATGTATCATACATCATACATGGTCAATCCACCATCATGATCAATATCATCCTCATATGAACATATACACATGCCATATCATATGATCAAATAGAGAAATTTGGGAGAGAAAGGAGCTCACAAACCCAGAGTCCTTCTCTCTAAGTTTCCTTGAGAATGAACTTATAAAGTTCCCTTCTTATAGAAACCCTTATATACTCTTCTCCCTAGAATTAACTAAACTTTGAAATCTACTCACTACATTACAGTCATCTACTATATATCATAAGCTTTTACGCATAAAGTAAAATAAAAGTTGTCTTTTACGAAAAATCAACAATAATAATTATTGATAATATTATTTGAATAGAAAGTTCTATCTTTAATGTTATCAAATTTTAGAGTTTAATGACTAGCCTCTTGCTAGCTTACACTCTTATCCAAGTTTTTTTTATAAATAAAAGTACAAAAAAAGCCTATTTCACATCTGATTTTTTAAAGGAAAAATACATTTCTTAGGAGTAAAATTAGTATTTGTAAGGTTGTATAATTTTACGCAATTAATTAAAAGTATTGTTTTTGATTGACGTTGTAAGGGTGTGCCGACAATAGCTCAGCCTTACCGCCTATAACAGCTCAGCCTTACGGCCTACAACATCTCAGCTTTTACAACAATACAACTTAAACATCATAATTCAGCATGAACATCTCACAACCCTGCACAATCATCACTCAACTTAACAACATTTATCATTAACAACATATATGAACATATATCAACATATATCAGCATATATCAACATGTATCAGCATATAAAGAAAGAGCACATCCGCACCCAGTGCAAGAGTACTCGCTCCCGACGTGGACCAACTAGAGAGCTCCAAGGCTCAAACGTGCCCGGCGCAATACCAATTGCGCCCAGCGTAAACGAAGGTAGAGACTCTCAGGAGTCTCACGCGCCCGACGTGCCAAACCCGCGCTCGACACAAGGAAGGCAGAGACCTCCCCGAGCACTTAGCTTGGAGATTCGAACCTAGTCGAAGGGAAATCCTCCGGATTTCCATAGTCAAAATTTTATAGGAGGGAGCGAGCGGGCTTGTAGAGCGAGGGAACACCAAAAAGCTTCCCAGTTTTACGAAATATATAAAAGCACGCTTCAAAGGTTTCTTCTTAAAGTCCTTCCTTTTACTGCTTTCTGTGTGCATATTTAAACTGTCATCATGTAGATAGTTAATTT